TGTTCAATTGGCTTATTCGTGGGAACTAGGACTCGAATAGTGGAGAAGTGTCGACATGTGAAGAAAATTGGGTAGGTATTGCCCATTTTCATACGCACTTTAATCATTTTCAGCTTCAAGTGCCTATTTGCACCGTTTTGAAAAGGTGGGCAAGACTTTTAAAATGATGCGTTACTTGCATGAAGAAACTACATAAATAGTTAAATGGCATTCCTTTTACGACACCATTCAAACATCTACAAATCTGACTCAAGAACGCTGTTCATCCTCATTCTGGGGTATGGCACTGAACATAATTGATAAATTTTTACCCAGCTCAATGGCAGCTGAGTCCTTTTGGGTGATATCAGGTCATACCCGTATCACTTCTGACGACAATGACAAATATTCCATCTGACTGACTCATCTTGTGCGGAACAAACACTGTTCAAACCGTACACTGACTGCCACGCCACAATCAACATACAATACCGGACCGTCCAGTGTCCCGAAAACGCACCGGCCCGCCGACACAAACTCGCCGCAACAACCAAACGTGGCTGCCGTTACAGGACCGATGGTTTTCCTCGTTCGACTAATACAGTATTCCTGGCAACCTTTCCGTGATCGGTTGCCAGGCTGGCGAGGAGCCGTGGATACCGGTCTTAGCTCTACGCACGGCGGCGCGACGGCCGGCTGAACCGAGGGCCGGGCGGCTGGGCGGCGGCGAGCGAACGGAGGGCGGACGGCAGCGAGCGAACGGAGGGCGGACGGCGACGAGCGGCGGCGAGCGGCGGTGCTTGAAAGCGTATCGGCTGAATGGCGGCGGCACGCCATCAGTGAGCGTATTCAGCGAGCGGACACGACCCTCGGCTCCGCTAACCGGCGGTCAGGTACTCTGAACTGTCGCCTGGTCAATGGGCGGCGCGGGTCGTCGCCGGAACCTGTACTGTGAGGCTATAGCCTCCGGCAGACGGGACGGACGGACATACCGTGACGAAAAGTAGCCTACGGGGTGACCTGCTGTGCATACCTACCCGCAAGATATTGGGTATAGCTGGGAATGGAGGCGGAATTTATCCACACTTTCTTACTGAAGCTCGAAGTTTCAAACGCATTAAAACACAACCGTCACTTTCGGCGAAATCAACATTTCATATAATTGCATGGTCGTCAGTTAGCACCACGAGTTGCCATAATAACTCCATCCATCCATTTGAGTTATGATATCCGTAAACTCCTCTTTTATCCTCTCCTGAAATTCTACTCAAGTTCTGTCACCTACGTGCCAGTATCCTCCCTTCCCGGTAAGTACCAGCGCTGCCCTTCCCCTCCTGTAGCCACGCCCCTCACCTGGCTCCCCCTCCCCCTCGACCGGATCGCTCGTCGTCACCCGGCCTGCCGACGTAGCCCATTCTGAGCCGATGACCGTCCGCTGAATGGGCCGCTCCAGACTGTTTCCATCGGCAGCTATTGAGCCGACGGCCGGTCGGCTCGATTGACTGCACCTCCACAATGGCATCAGCAGGCAGGCGCTTGATCGCAGCCGTGGTCGCCATCATACGATACAAATATTGTGGCGGATAGGGGTGCGTTAAATGGTCCAATTCAGCCGGAGCGCTCCTGGTGACGCCGAAGTTGATGGCGGTGACAGTGACGCCGTTGATGACGCCGCCGGTGACGGTGACGGTGTCGGTTATGATACCGATGACGGTGACGGTGACAAATCGATGACGTCATAGGATGACTGTGACGTTGCTGACAGCTGTGACGCCGCGAGGTGTTGCCAACGACATGGTGTCGATAGCGACAGTGTCTCTGCGGAGATGGCTGAGCCGTCAAACCCGATCAGACAGTGTCGCGTGCAGCTACATCGATTGCCGATTGGAGGCGGCTCAGAGCGCAGTATTTTTACTCGGAGGTGACGATGCGTTGGGACGGCTTCGGTGATCTCGATTGGAGCTCGAGTTACGCCCATCACATACACACGTCAGCGCCTTCCTCTGATCTCGGCGGCTCTTAAAGTGAACCGGCCTGTAGCCCTAATCAGATTACCGATATGCCCGATGACTCTTCTCGGACAAGTAGCTGTCAGATTAGAACCAGAAATAGGCTATAGCGGCCGCTAATTAAAGTGCACCTCCTCGATAAGCGGCCAGTACGCAGCTGCCCCGTCTATTAACAAACAGCAAAAAGTCTGGGCTGCATGATGGCGCCGGCGGCCGGCGGGCCGCGTCGGTCGGACGGTGGCTGGTTTTTGTCAGTCCGGCCCTGCAGCCGCCGACCGAACGACGAGACTGTTTTGAACAATTAGGCCGTAAATCCGTCGAAGGACGCACGCCGTCCGGCCGCACCAGCATGGCGGCCGGCGGCGGAGCCATTTTGGCCGAGGTATCGGCTCGTGAGATCAGTTTTCTCCCCCGCGATAGCCATCGGCGGCTGCCCGAGCCGCGGCGCACATACAAATACATTATGCAGTCCCGGAGCCACCGACGCCGACGCGGCATGGAGCTTTTCCTCTGTGGAATTCGTCATTTATTTCGGAGTCGGCCGGAATGCCAGCCACAATTCGGGGGACATGGGGAAAATTGTGAAGCATTTTCCAGTCTGTTCACCCGCAGTTGGATATGTGCCCGAATAACTTGAAATTCACTGGACAAGGAATTTTGAGGAGCGTCAGATGCCATGTTAGCGTTGTAAAATTTATAACAAACGCACCGCATTGTAAATCACCTCGTAGCTGACCATTCCACCATTTCAGCCCATAGTTAGTGGCCATATTGGTTCAAAATTTTGAGTAGGATGAATCATGCTTTCCCAACCCATAAACTTCACACTACAATTAAATTCATTTGACAAAGTTAAGTCGATTTTATAGGCAGATGAGATTCGTAAATAAACTCACCAAATGGATCAAGATCAACTACTGTACCTACAGACTGGCTGAAATAAGTGAGACGAAAGCCGTGAGCGACTGGCTCTAGACCACTTGCGCACTGCACTTGGTCGATTTTCACAAATCGAGTATTACACAAGGCTCGATGTTTTCCTTGAATGGTCCAGCCTGTTAGCTCACGGCACATTCTCCTGAGATAGCTTCGACAAACGGAACTCGAAGAATGCCTTCGTCGGCTGTCCCTTTGGTAAGCTAATCTGAGGAGGTATGGGCAAATCCACCCACGCAAAAACTCACCTTAAAAAGTGCGCCGACGTTGTGTGTAACGCTCGTAATGGATCCTGTCGGCACACTCGGCTGAGTGCGACCTTCCAGTATGGCCACAATTTTCCGTTTGGCTGGCCGTGTTAGCAGGTGTCGCTGGATCAACTCCTTTTTGCCGCGCATAGCGCACGTTCTACAGAGGAGAAATAGGACCACACGCGGTGAAAGCAATCAGCCTCAGCTCGACATACCTATGTATGTAGTTAATAGTCATGATGGTGGGACTGATTTGGGCTGCGATTAAAGACCGACTTATTTGTTCGAAGAAATTTTCGAACCTTTAGCTTTTAGAGGGAAATGTATTTAAGTTATCAACTGACCCTGATAGAGGGAATCACCTGGAAACATTTGGGTGGGCCGGGGGGGGAAGGTCACATTATTTCAAATCGTATTTTAATGCGTGATTTTATGTTTGTGCTAACAAATATACCGGGTGGCCCAGAAAAAACGTTCCCAACTTTAAATCAATATTTTTCAGAAAGTGATAAAGATACAACATTGAAACTTCGTATAGTCAATGCGGCACACATTTTCAGTAAATGGTGTGATTTTTATGTTATTCGGTCAATTACTTTTTAAACGGTTCGTGTTTCTAGCATGCCATGTAAAAATCACTTTTTTGCTCTGATGTTTACCAAAAATGTGAGTGAACGGGCCACTTCCATCTCGGCCGGCACCACGGCCACGGCATGGGTTACTGCCAGTAGCAGACATGGCTGTATACAGCCATGTCTGCTACTGGCAACTAGTCTCATTGGTGGTTCAGGCCTCAGGGTGACTCATTCCCTCTAGCTTTTTTCCTTATTCGGTCGATTTACTATTTGATCTTCTTGAAGGGAGGGCGATCAGCAGTAACCCATGCACCGTGCCACTCCTTCGCCTTGAAACAGAACTTGTGTTGAAACGAATGGCATCCATTAACACAACTTTGGCTTAGTATTTGATTATTTAGCACATAAGTGTGACAAAAAAAAAATAGCAACACACGTGCTGGTATCATTCAAGCCGTTCTATTTTTTTTTTGTATTTTTTCTAACATTGTACGTCTAAGCCAATCATTACTTCTGTTCAACAACGGCAAAAAAAGCAAAAACGTCATACTTCATTCAACATAAGATTGTTGGCTTGAAAATGATGGTACAGTGTTATAATTTGGCATACCAATGCGCAAAGAAGTGACGCAAACTTGATGAAAATTTTGGCTCGTTATTTGCACTCGAATTTGAGATATAGGCCTCCAAAGTTCGGAACGTTTTTTTGGGGCCACCCGGTATGTAGTTTTTATCATGTTTATTATGTTCTTCCGGTCTTCACTGAGATAAAATAAACCGTACGTTAAACCAAATATTTTTATAGATTAATTTGCAAATATCTGACATAACTTCTATTGATATATTTTTGTCCGAGATAGTTTAGAATAATACATTATGTTCTGGAACAAATGAATATTTGCATTTTACCATGCAGGATGCACATACCTCACAAGAGAGCACACTGCACAGTACCATTGCATTCTTCAATCTGCTGTCTGCACCATTGTTCCATATCCCAGAACACATTTGTTTTTGTTAAGTTGTCAGAGATTCAGTGCTTTCGTTTTGTTAACAGCAAAACATCCCCTCACAGGACAAACAATGCACCAATTCTACACTGTCACGGTATTCATAACGCCGCAAAAAATACAAGAAACGATAAATCACTCGTAAATGCTAAACACACAACAATTTTGCTGTCCACAAATAAAATTTGGCGATGACAACATAAACATCTCCCCTAAACACAGCCTCACCATTTGTTTCAGGTATCGTCCATCAATCGTGTGCTGCGGAACCTGGCGACCCAGAAGGACCAGCAGCAGCACCAGCAGCAGGAGAGTGTGTACGACAAGCTGCGCATGTTCAACGGTCCCTCGGCGGCCGGCTGGGCCTGGTATCCCGGCGGGCCGCCGCCCTCCCACCTGACGCTGCCCCAGGCACCCGCGCACGGTCTGCCCGCCCAGCTGCCCACGCGCGACGACATCAAAAGAGGTGGGTCACCGGGGTGGTTTACTGAGGGGTTACGGAGTGCTGGGCCACCGAGTGGTCGGCTGGGCGGTCAAGCCCATCGGGATGGCTATCTGAAGGATCGTGCAGGGAGCTGGGCGTCTTCTATCTCGACATGTTTATTAATTGAAATATAAAACCAAATTTATTCGAATATAAGCTGTTGGTATTCAACCTTGCAATAAACAAAATAACTTCCTTGGCATCGTTCGTATTTCATGGGATTAACTAGTTCAGCTGTTTAAAAATAATTTAGCTCATGAGGAAAGCGAGCCGGTACCTAAGGCTTGCCAGTTTGAAGCTTCCGTTGATACAACATAAAAGTAATACTGCTACTGGTCGTTAAAACCTGGTTCACAAGCTCTAAGCACTCCCGATTCTGGTTCTGGGCAGTGTTTCCGTCTGTGTGTCAACTGAGAAAGGAAAACAATGACAACAGGATAAAGGCAGTCATTCACTGGTTTTGTAAGGCATGGTCAGCCGACATGACAGCTTAAAATTGCTCGATCGGTCATGTTTGAATGGAAATAATAGTACCTACCTACTGCTGATCAAAATTTTAAAAGAACCTATAAATGAAAGAAAATGTCAGACATGGAAATTCTTCGTAAATGATTGCAAATCTATATTTCACGATAACATAGCAGCACTGGAAAAAATATCTTCGTCGCCATTGCCGCCCCAAACCACTTTATAAAGATACTGGCACTGCAGTCCTAACAAATCCTCCGTTAATCAGTCACAAATCTGCCACCAATCCGTCACAAAGCCGTCACTAATTCGTCACCCGTGGCCAATCTCGCCTGCCATGGCCAGCCAAGGCCGATTATTTTGCGGATTCAACGTCCATTTTATGAATATGTGGTGTCGGAAAAGTCCATATGAAGACCACACCGTTGGGAAGGTCCTTTATATGACTAGTTATTTCAAAACGCCTCTTCTGTAGCCTCCTGCAGATCACCATAAAGCAATGTCTGCTCTCCAAAGGCAGATCATCAAAAAGGCCCTTTCTGAGACCTATACCAGGTCTCTAAGAATTCCTGCCTGTGGCCGAAGGTATATAGATCCCCAGGATAGCCTGTCTGTGGCCGTTCTATCGTTAATCCCCGGCCCGACCCGCGGTGCAGACCGTCGTCGCTCGCACGTGCTCTTCGTGTTCCCGTCACGAACGTGCCAGATGACAGCCATCTGACGATGTACTGTCCTCCTCTGCACCATCTATCTGGCGCGGCATCGCCAGCGTCAACTCGGCCAAGGCGATTATGTCCACTTATGCACACGGTCTTTGCGCTCGCGCCGCCGCGCCGGCCGGTCGCGGTTGAGCCGCGCGCGTGTCACCTTGGGTGTCATCTTGTGACGGCAGCCCGACAGGCGCCTCCCGTGCCCACTCCTCTCTTGCATGATTGCAGCAGTGCCGGCGACTGGTTTTGTGAGACTGCTTCCTGCTCGGTCAGATGGTTATACAATTTCCGCACTGTACAGTGTGGTCGAATTTGTGGACAGTTTTGAATTGAAAGAGCTTCACAACTTCTGCAGAGTGATTTACAATACACCTGAAGTGTGACGGATGGCTATTAATTATGAAAACTGCGAAATGAGCATTTTGAGTACATCAGTTTTCGCGCTTTTACGCAATAGTAACCACACAACACATCAGGCAGACATTTCCATCTCCAATCTAGGTCGGGTGCGCACCATCACTCAGAGAAAACGCAGCCAAGCGATTGAACACCCTCCCCCTCCCGCCCGCTGGACCCGCCCTCTTCTGTCCGGCGGCGCGCCAGCCCACGACTCCGGGCGCACATCAATCTCCGATAAAACAGAGCAAAAAATCGCCGCCCGCGCGCGCGGCGCTCTGTGCCTCGCTCGTTTGCATCGGAGGCGCGTCCTGTGGTGTGGAAGTGACGCAATCAGAGTTGTAGATGAGGGGCGCCGGCCGCCCGGCAGCCATGATGAAGTGAAGACAAATCCGGCAAGTGATTGATCCGGCTCATTACTGAGGGCGCCGCGCGCTGCGACTGCCGCGGCGGCGCGCCGCGTTTGTCGCAGGCTGACAGGCGGATGGGAAGGCAAACAGAGTCCGGTGGTGGTGCTGGGAGGTCAGGAAGGGGTGCCGACGAGGGGTGGCTTCCCCCTGTGACCCGTGACAGCGACTAGCAGAAATTAGCAGCACTGTTGTTGGTTCAGAAGTGTGTGCAGAAGGGACTACATCGACGCGGGAGGGGCACTAGACAAGGGAGAATACGGGTGAATAATACGGATATGACACAGATATGTTAGCATATGTGTTTTGGTGTACGGTTATCAATTGTATGTAAAGCAAAATAGGCTGTCGCTTATCAACAGTTGAGCTTACTGTAATCGTATTTAATCTACAATAAATACCATAAAAATGAGCAGAAACACAGATGTTCTGAATTCAAATTATGTAAAAATAGCAAACTACAACCGCAGCAGGATGTTCGATTTCTATCTTCAAGGGATTATTTTACACTTTGAGACAATCCCTCATATAGTCAAAGGCCACGCCAATCAGCCGGACAAGCTGACACAACAAAAACAAGTCCACCCTGCAACCTTTGGTCTGCTTATTACCTGGAGATGAAAGGAGCGCCGTCCGGGGAGAGGATCAGTCCCCCTCTGTCCCCTTTCCCTGCGTGTGGGACTTTGACGGCGAGCGGCGGTCAACAGCGGCTCAGCGATCGGGCTCAAGATAGCCGCTCTTGTGTGCGGTCCGATCTGGGACGAGTTTCGTCCCGGTCCACTCTGGCAGACCGTTCTGCGACCCTTTGATGGACGGCAGATAGACGGGCCACCAGAAACAATGTCATAATTCGCTCCTTTCAGCCCGAAATGGCCCCGAAAACTTCAATTTCCGGCGTTCGGCCTCGGGGAATTGGCTGCATCGCGTTTGGGAAGTAAATTCGATGGTCGTCCGGAACGACCCAACTCTGTTATTCGTGGGGTTCCGACAAACTGAGGCCGTTTGGAGAAAACAGCTTGATATAGCTATTACTGCAGTCGTCTCTCCATCCCTCTCGCCTCTCTCTCTCTCTCTCTCTCTCTCTCTCTCTCTCTCTCTCTCTCTCTCTCTCTCTCTCTCTCTCTCTCTCTCTCTCCCACTGCCTTCTGTCGTCCAGCTATCGCCACCGCCACCGCTAGCGCTCCCACCATCTCACCCACCGCCCTCGGCTTCCGCCACCGCCCTCCACCGCCCTCCACCGCCGCCGCAGCGGCCGCCGCTACGACTATTGAGTTACCGACAATCGCATTCTAGTCACTCGTTCTCTGATTATGCCCGCCGTTGTATTGTGGTTAAACTAAGCGAGTTGAGATCGTCAAATGGAATCATCTCTGCCAACGACGGAAATAACCACTCGTCGAGCTCCAAATTGGCAGCCGGGGTCGTTGGGCCCAACGAGGGAGTCTGACGACGGTCCCGGTCGGTCAGATGGGCCGGGACTATAGCTGTGACGATGGGGATCAGGCGTCGCGGTTATAACAATGACGCTGCCGACGCTCATTGGAAAACGACCAGTCATGACTATTCTAGAAAATTGTCATGGTGATGTTACTGTGAGATTTCTAGGAGGCGTGATGGACATTAAATTGAGAACCAGAGCTGGTGGAAAGCTGTTGCATTTTTCCGTTTGTTACGGTCACTGAGAAGCGAGTCCTTGTGCAGACCGGCTGTCGGCTGACTCAGACAGACGGCGATTTTCAAGCCAGCTTAGCTCATCATCAGTCCAAGAAACCGTGACGGGATGAATGCAAATGTTAAACAATGTTTAGTTGATGGACCGCTGACAGGGGAGATGGCCAGTGCGAATAGTGCGCATAGCAAACGTCTCAGGCTACCGTTATTCTTCTGCTTCGCTTGGCAGCAGAACTGCCGCAGCTCGCAGAAATGCCATCCTGCAGGTCCGCCCTCATCCGGACTTGTTTGTCACATTTCGATGGGCTGATTCAATTCGAGTTTTTTTTAATTCTTGAGTGAATTCATCTGTCGATGCTTTCTGCCGCCTATGGGCGGGGGCGACTGCCGGTGGCGGGGGCGGCGGTGGGCCGGCCTTGGCGGTGGCGCGTGCAGCGATGGCCGCCGCCGCCCCGCCCCCGCCGCCGCCCCCGTCCGCCCGTCTGCACCATCTGATAGCGGGTGGCGCGCGGGCGGCGTGGTGGTGTTTGCGGCGGCACGGTCCTCTGATCTCAGCCGCCCTGTCGACCCGCCGGCCGCTGACAAAGAAACCACTCGGTGACAAGAGAGACGCGCGCCGCCCCGCAGACGACAGACGACAGACGATGGGCTACAGCCGGGCGACAAATTACAGACAGACGAGAGACGAGCGCCCGCCCCGCAGAGGACATACAGACGATGGGCAGACGATGGACGACAGACAAGAGACGAGCGCCGCCAGACCACAGACAGACGACGGACAAACGACAGACAATAGACGACAGACACAGACGATAGACGTTGCATGCATTCCACAGCTCAAACAGACCACAAGGGGTAGACGACAGAGAACAGACGACATAAGTCAAGACAGACGATGACTGACAGGAAACAACTACACTACCTGGGCCCAAATCGACCCAGTTTGTGAGCCTCGGAAAAAGTCCCTAATCAACACAAATACGTTTATTCTATCATCGGTTCATAGCCCACACCATTTCGAAACTTTTATGTAATGTGCATTTAGTTTATCCTTTACAAGGTTCTTCGTCAAAATACGGTCCAAAGTCCTCCGCGGGTTCTTTTCAAAGACCTGCTACTAACAAGCCTTCTGTTGGTGACAATTTGTGGGTAAGACGTCGCTCTGCTTCCGTTCCTCCTTTGTTCTGCGGTGCTGGTGACAGTGTGGATGACGTCTTTTTATTCACTTTCACTGTCATCCTCTCATGAATCGTGACAGATGGGACGGCCACCGTCGGAAGTCTATGTAATGCTCGGCATTTGGACGCCATGTGACGCGCGCCGAGGGAAAAGGACCAGTTGTGTCCACTGTTCAGCATTTCGTAAATACGACGGTCAGTTGATGTGTAAATGAATATGGAAATAAAATAGCAAATGAACTTTACCGCAAGTTGTACCTAGTAGTTACAAGAAACGCGACAACAGCCATGCAGTCAATCATCATACGTGATTCGAAGTGAATTTCGGTCTAATTAATCATCATGATTGATAATCGTGTCATTCGTTGAATATCGTGTCTTGAATACAGGGCCAAGCGAAATGCCCAATGGCAGAGCCATGCTACAGACAATCAATCACATCAAACGATAAATGTCTAAGCTATCTCAGTGTTCAAGCACATTTATTACCATCACTATCCAAATGTCTTAATAAAGCAACCAAAGCCTAGAGGCTTCTGCAGCTGTAGACTTTAGTTCTTCTGAGCAGCCTCAATCCAAAAGACCGCAGTCACACCAGTCTTTTGCTTCTCTCTGGTTTCGTTTGCTGTTTGTCTCGTGCTCGAACACTATCGCCTGTCCCGCGTGCGCTTCGTCCACTCTCCACAGGACAGAATTCCTTTCAGCCAACCCGATCGGCGGCACCTTTGACAAACAACACTAATCGCGAGGCGTCTGTGTGCCGACGAGGCGCGACCGCTACCCCTGAGATCAGCCTGTTCGGGAAAAATAGAGGACAAAGCGCCGCTTGGACGTCGGCGGCCGTGGCTCCTGTTCAGAGGCGGCTACATTCGAGTTTCGCTGGTCAATACGCCCCTGTCTGTGACGACATCAATGGGTGTAGCATTGATGACGAGAGCCCGGCCGCGGTGCCGACGGTGCTGTATTATTTCCGGATTAGAGCCTCAGTCGGATATCGGCCCACTGAATTGGCCAGTTTGGGTGAGAGTAATGCGCGAGTGAATGGTGCTCCACCCTCAAAGAGAGTAAGCCAATTTGGGTATCTTTGACAGGTTCCTGTCAAAACGGTCTGATGATAAATCTGATGCATTTTATTGCAGGTAATTAAGGGTAAAATACGCCGGCCAAAATCGAAACACGCATCTTAAAAACCGATTGACGCTAACGTACACTGCAGTGTCTATGAAGCACAGAAGTCATTTTCATTTTTAGCTTTGACTGTGTCTACCTTGGTTACTTGTATTTCAGCGCACCAGTAAACCACAAAAGTTTACGGGCCGGGAGCTATAGCAGTCTTAGTTCTCCTAAATTCTGGGATGTCCCTAAATATTTTTGACCCCGTCACGCCGAGGATTTGCTTTTATTTGATTGATGGAAGCACAATTAACGGTATCTGCGAGAGCGTGTCGTTAAAACAGGTTTGTTTGATTTAAATTTCTTGTTTGGAGCCGTGTCTTACCTAAAAACGGAATGTCACCACGTCTTTTGCGCAGCACATTTCATTCACTTTGCAGAAGCCATCCTAAACATAGAATGAAAAGACAGCTTACAAGAGCCATTGTGCACAGTATCATAATCCATTGTGTTGACGAGCTTTGTTGTGACTTTATGTCATGTATTAGTGACCTGACCAACATTCAATTGCCGTTTCCCTCAAGATGTACTGCCATTTTTGTTTTTCCCATATAAAGAAGTCGATTTATGGGCATTGAATTTTCGGTTGTCGCAAGCAAATGTGTCCGCCATTAGGTACCTTTGAGCGCGGCATGGTCTTCTATCCATCCTCATAAAGTTTCTACACAAGTTTCTATAAAAGTTTCTAAAAATAAGTTTTCACAAAAAATGACAAGGTATTTATATTTCTAGCTTACGTGTTTAATTATCTGTATCTACATTCATGTTATTCGTTTTCCGCAGCTGACGGCGCCAGTGAGCCGACCTCGGACGGCAACTCGGAGCACAACTCATCAGCAGAGGAGGACTCCCAGCTGCGCCTGCGACTCAAACGCAAACTACAGCGCAACCGCACGTCTTTCACCAATGAACAAATCGAGTCATTAGAAAAGGGTGAGCCTGCTTCTCGTCTCCCGCGCGGGGATTCCGTATCACTTTCATCTTTCTAATTTTCTTTCTATTAAACGGCGTATTTGCCAAGCCTCCCAGATCCCTTCCGGCTGTTCGCCATTGAATTTCAAGCTAAACGTTTCCGCTGAGCTTCAAACGTTTCGATTTCTGTCGGCCAGACAGAAAATGGCGCTGTCTGAGTCGTGTTCCGGATGACTGGAGACCCGTCAGCCGTCTTTGAATAAAACATGCGCCGTTTTTGCTGGGAGCAGACGCTCATTGGTGTGCGGGTGCTGACACAAGCTCCGTGTGCCACAGAGTTCGAACGGACCCACTACCCGGACGTGTTCGCCAGAGAGAGACTGGCCGAGAAGATAGGACTTCCCGAGGCCAGGATACAGGTGAGGTCAAAAGCAGCGACTGCATTCGTGGAGAGAGCACCTATTCCGTCATTCCAGTAGCTCGCGTCAAAAATATTCCAGTGAACAAGACCACAACCGGGGTATATAATCAAATGTAAAACCTAAGTCGGTTTCAAACAAAAAGCGATTATGGAAAGAAAGGTGGCAGAAAAGTAAATTTTGATTTTCTATCATCTGTCAGCGCTACACGAAAAGATCACCAACAAGCTCGCTGTAAAAACTGTTTTTGCTTCAAAACCCAGCATCAACGTCCAACTGTTTTTTTCTTTTTTGAGGGGGACGGCTTTCCACCGTACCACTGCAAACAAAGGTCATGCTAATTAACGCCAAACAAAGGACAACAATGAAAGGGGTACCAATCCGGTTAGCGGCATGTGCGTTTCACGCGCTTTGAACGTGGCGCTATATGGCTCGCGCAGGTGAGGTGTTTGGTTATCAGCGGGGACTGGAACTAAACACAGTAGGTATCCTATATCCATCTGAGGCCGCCCCACAAACGAGATGTGTGGGGATACTGTTTTGTTTTGCGTTGCGGTTTCCAAGCATTGCGGGCTAGTATATCTGCGCAGGTGAAGCTCGTCCAGTGACTGCGATGCATTAGAGTAGATAACACCACCGCGTAATGCGGCTTTATACGAGGGCGGTGGTTGAACCCTTGCGGGCATGAATTATGAACAATAATTAGCCCGCAGTCGACATTTTCTTTGTCCCTTCGTTACTTCCAGACAGGGTGGTAGTTTTAATTACATTAATGTTGCGTGCTCCACTATCACATCGCGTGTCTGTTACACATTTGCAGACTGGCCGAATGGGGTATTGCGTCCGTTTCGCTGCCGGCCATTGGTCCACACTCGTGCCACGGTGACCCTGATTGGTTGTTTCCAGGTGTGGTTCAGTAACCGGCGGGCCAAGTGGCGACGCGAGGAGAAGCTGCGGAACCAGCGCCGGGGTATCGACTCGGTGGGCGCCATGCCACACCATGCCTCGCCGGGCGGCCGGCTGCCCTCCCAGCCGGGCTTCAACTCTATGTACCCGTCCATTCCGCAGCCCATCAGCATGGCTGACACGTATAGGTGAGCCGGCCCGCGCGATAAGGTCACCCGACACCGGTCGCCAGACCGGTCCCGTGAATACTCCAACCAGATACCGAATGTCAATCATAATGATGTGCCATGTAGTGCGCATAGTGACGTTTATTGACATACAACTGCGGTTAGGCTGGTAAAAAGTAGATCACCTTTTTTCCTGACGCCACAGCCCACAACGGAGTTCAATACAAATAATGAATAAAAAGATGTAATCTAAGGGGCTTCAATATAGAGACACCCATGGAGCCCAACCTATATCTGCGTTACCACAAGCTGTAACAGATATAGACCACTTGGATCCGCTCTAGCTCACCGCATAAACATGGCATAACCCATTTCCATCTCTTCCCCAGTTCGATGTCTCAGTCGCTGGGCGGCATGAGCTCGGCAGCCGCCGCAGCAGCCGCAGCTGCCGGCGCCGGCTGTCTACAGCAGCGCGAGACGCCCTACCCTTACATGTTCGACCACCTGAGCACTCTGGGTAGCATGTCCTCTGCCGCGGCCGCCGGCTACGGACGCTCTTCGTGCAACATGACCCCGCAGAGCTCCGGACATGTCGGCTACCCCGGCTCGGCGGCAGCGGCGGCGGCAGCAGCAGCGGCAGCGGCCGCCGCACCGGCCTCAAACGCAGCCACAGGTCAGTCAGGGGACAGGGGATGGGGCAGATGGGTGCTGGATGAGGCGCTTAGGACTGTGATGACAAATGGCAGTCACTTTGGGCTCATATAGGGTTACAAATATACAAATGTTAGGTATCATAGCACCTAACGATTGGAGTTGGTATTGTGCAAGCTTGTGTGCCTTTATTAGTTTGTGTAACTGTCTTCGTAGTATTAGTATGCGGACAGCACATGGATTTCAAATTATGCGTGCTGCTGAATGCTAATGCTTTGGCTCGAATTGGCTAATGATGTAAGCCCGATGCTTGCATTTCACGATGAAGGGATATTTGAAATAATCCCGTCTGAAAGTCCGGTAATGCCGTTGTAAGGTACACCAGCGCTTAGAACGGTTACCACATGGAGACTCCACCACGAAACCAGTCTAAGCCATGTCCGATCAATGCTCCCACAGCTCGTTAGCACGAAGACAATCCAAAGTTCAAAGAACCGCCCCCGTTTCGTGACTACGGAGCTGTATCCAGGGCGGCGCCATGTCCCAGGCGCACTTATGTTAATAGGTCACGGGAGTCGCCACAGTGCCGCTGCGGCAGGGACTTAGCTCTCCTCATGTCACCGAGCTGAACATCCGGCTAGACGGGGCTGCCACGCCACCCTCCGACCCGAATCCGCCGGCGGCCGCCACGCCCCTGGACAAAGCTCCAAAGCTGTTTACATGCCAGTCCAAGTGGCGTTCGTGAGACAGGGGGTTGTTAGTGGCCGACTTCAAACCTGGCGTCTTCATCAAAGAGCGCTACGCCGGCGGCCGCCATAGCTGCGGTCACGCGTCCTTTACTAGTTAATGAGGAGCAGCGCGGTGCCGAGTGGGCCGCAGAATCGATTCCCCGGCATCACGGCGCGGTCGGCGGCACCTCCGTCTCGGTCGCGGCGCACGGCCCACCCGGCACACCTCCGCCAGCTCCCAGCGCTGCGACGGAGTAGGGCGCCGCTACTGCGACCAAGCGAGCCAATTATGCGCGAATTCTCACCAGGCCGAGAACTTTGCGCATACAGATTCTAGCCAAAGTTGGGTTGATTATTCACCTTCAGCTGTTGACGCAGCCAACCGATCCGAGAAGAGCGACGAAACTGTTCATCCAAGTTGTATAGTTCATTAGAACAACACTATCTTTTGCAATATGTATTTTGCTAATCTGAATAAAGAGCGCCTTATCTTGTGAGTGCGAAGTTTGAGCCTTCGGCAATATTCACCCTCGATTTCATCTTTTAAAATTGTGATGGAGTTATGAAATGTGAAGTGCTTCTTTTTCGAACAAAGACAAAAACAACCAAGGAAATTATAAAGAAGATAAATCGTGAAAGACCAGTTGAAACCATTCCTTGCGAGCCGGACTTCAAGCATAATTTTGTAGGCTTGAGAACGTCTTTGACGTCAAATGCAGCCCTGTAGCCGCTTTTCCCCGGTCCTGCACATGGGTGGTCCGAGCTGCACCTCCTGATCCGGAGACCGGGCGCCGATGTGGCCCATCACATCCGGCGGGCCACGCCCGGCGCCGGATCGTGCGACAAAAACATCCGTGGCAGCCCCCGCTCGTCATTTGTCATTTACAGTCGCTCGCCCAACAAAGGCACTGCACACAAAATTATGTCGATTCGTTTATGACGCGGGGCGGGGGCGCTGACTGCGGGGAGGGGCGGCTGGAGGGGAGGGGAAGCGATCACTGAAGCGGACATGACCGGCCCTCTCGCGCTGGAGGTATCCGATTATGATGGCATTGTTCGGCGCCGCTCACATCTGCTATCATTGGGGCCATTGTGCGCGACGGGGAGCCGGGCGGCGGGCCGGCCGCGGTGAGCCCGCTACTCTAACGAACCGGGATAGTGATGATACGGGGATGACGCCGCAACATGGCGCCCGGCGGCGACAGACGCTGACAGCAGAAATTGGGTGACGACGGCGTCCGTCTGTGTCAGCAGTTCAGCTGATAAAAACGACACAGACGGAATACATATTTGATTTTACAATGATAAGAGTTAAATGAAACCGAAGCAAGGTGCTCGAACCAGGCGCGGATACAAGGGGGGGGGCATGGGGGCCATGGCCCCCCCCCTTGGCCGATTTTTTTCAAAAATAAAATAAAAAGTTAAAAAGTTAAAAAGCTGAAAAGGGGGCCTCCTGAAAATAAAGTGGCCGAAATCCGATGAGTTTTTTTTTAACCTACCCACTTAGTTATTTCTTAGAAGACTAGCTGAGAAGACTTCTTTGTTAGAAGATTGGTAAAGCTTTTCATAACTTGGAGGTCTCTTATACTCACAGAGATGACCACTTTTACAGGGCCTCCTAACCTGCACAGAGGGCCTCCACGCCTGCACAGATGTTGAGATGTTGCCTGAACAGCTAGATAAGCTCAATAGACGCAGTTTTTTTTTTGGGGGGGGGGGGGGGCCCAACAAGTGGGAAGATGGGGCCTCCAACAGGTGGGATTATGGGGGGGGCCTCCTGGTTTCTAATGGCCCCTCCCTTGGAGATTTTCTGGATCCGCCCCTGGCTCGAACGATTGTCAGTGCAGCAGCATTGGCGAATCAATTATATCTATCGCTTGCTTGGAAAGATAGCGAAAGTGTAGCTATCAATTTTATTGTTTAGGAGGCGAACTTATAGACCGAGAGCCAAGGAGCACAAGCGCGCTAATAACGATTATGATCGAGCCCCATCCTACCCAAGACCGACCGACTTTAACCTGACCCACGCCAATCCCTCTCTTTCACAGGTGTTCTGTCGGCTGGCCTGTCTGTGCCGCTGCAAATTCACAGCCAGAGCCAGCACGACCTGGCCGCCAACTACTGGTCTCGGCTCCAGTAGCAAGCAGCCGCCGCCGGCCGCTGGTGGTGACACGAGATTGATCCGGCGGTCGGCGGTTTTAGTTGCGCTCCAGCGCAAGCGAGCTAGGAAGTTGTGGATCTAGACACGGGCTCGGCAGCGGAGACGGGTTCGTTTGGGATATTTCTTTAGTCGACGCATCGCTCGGATCGGGCGTATCGCGGCGGAGGATCTTCTCGGATCGGTGAATTTCTGAACCGGGACCGACAGTGACTGGGAATCTCACGGAGTCGAGCGCCGGAGATACGAGTTCGGCTCGGTCACTGGCACTCTGAAACGGAGTTCGGCCCAAACCACGGACACTGGACCAAGTATGGCCATTGGCCTGCACCGGGACTGGATCTCATCCTCGGAAATGAGTTGATCCTTGCTACAAGCCTCAGTGATGCCCGCCCTCAGAACTGGAGCCGAGTGACCCATTGGACCGTCCCGAGTCGCTCAGTCACCTGTCCCGCTGCCGGTCCTTGCGTTTCCCGGTCCACTCGTTCCGTTTCCCAGCCCGCCCGTTTCCCGTTTCCAGGTCCGTCCTGGTCGCCATACTGACGACCTTGTCCAGCGTCACACAATAGTGGGTCGGTGGCCGGCGGGTCGCCCCTCCCCTCCCCAGTTCCCGCTCCGCCCCGCCCCGCAGTCGGCCATGACTGCTGTGCTTCGTCAACCAGAGGGCGGTACCTGAGGGGTCGCCGCACGCGGAGGGGGGGGGGGGGGGAGCCTGTTACACAGGTGTGGGGACAGATGCGTACTACAGAGCCGCAGGGGAAGGGGAGGACAGTGGCTCTCCAAAGAAATGATATGCGTTGACGTAGCGTTTTACGGCGCGAAATGTGTGACAAGGTACTGACAGATCATTGTTTAGGTAGCTCGTGTTTAGGTGCTTCGCTTTTGACAATGTGTTTTTAATCGATTGGTTTTATGTGGAATGGTGCGATTTCTTAGCTACGTGACTTGGACAAACACACTTGCTTTGGAAAAGATGATTCATTATCAATCGGTTTATTTTTTATTGAAACAAAGCCGGGGCTGTAGGGATATTCGCCCCACAGTTCTCAGAAGCAAAAATGGACATTGCTGTCGATTTGTTCCACCGACCAGTCAAACTTAGCTGCAAGGCCATTTGGTTGCTGAATAGGTCCATTCTTTATGTTAGGTATTCTCAATTGACGTTTCTTGCACGGCACGTAACATAACACGTGCTTCCCTAGAATAATAACAAAAAGTGCACAAATGAAAGAGGTGCATGCAAAGACAAAGATTCAGGTATCATGCACAAATGAAGATGGCAAATGCATGCATGTGGTGTCAATTTTAATGGTTTCAAACAAGTGAATCATAAAAAATCATTACACAATGGGTCACCGTGATTGAACTAACATTTCTTTTTTCTAAGGCGGGGAGATAACAGGTCAAACACGACATTGCAGCGTACCGTTTGAATCAATAACACATTTGCTTTTAAATACCTATAAGGTAAAATCACCTCAACAAACCAAACCACGATGCATGCCGCTAAACCAGCAGCGAGCTGCCTTTGTAAGCCACCCCGTTAACAAACATGGGGTCATGCTCAGCGCCTGGTCACATTTTGCTAACAAATAGATTGATAGTGAGGAACGGTTCCTAACGGGCCTCCTGTGTGGGTTCAGTCTACCTTTCAGCTAGCGCGTTCTGTCGACGAGCGCTCGATGCCCGTCGGCACGGGGGAGGGAGACGAAAGTGTTGTGTTTGTTGGCGTCCGCCATGTGCGATGTTTGAGCCAGTGTACTTGTGCTTGTGTTTTCTGGCGTACCTATCGATAGTAGGAAGTAGATTTATTGTTGCATGTTACCACTCCGGGCCGCCAGGCGAGCGCGAACTGTTTCATAATATAACTAGGCCTTATCAGAGTGCGCAGCGGAGTACAGCTACGGCGAATCATTGTAGGCAGGCGACACAGAGCTGGAGTAGACTGCCATTCTGTGCTTTTCTCTTGTTGTCATCGTGAAGTGGGGGTAGCGTGAGGGCGCTGGTCGCTGTGAAGAGAAGCAGTGACGATTTGGGGAGACGGACAGCTCGGGAGATAGGCGTGAGAGCCGCACAAAGCGTTCGCCCGCGCCGCTGTCGCGTGTACCATATGTGCTGAGTGGAGTTCGACTATGGTGGTGTGCTGTATAATAGGTCTACATACTGTGTACATACAAACAACGTGTAGGACTATGAAGCGAATGTAATAAACTGGAAATAAGATGTGATGCGTTTCACGTAAGCTGTAGGAGTGTAAGCACATGTTGTAGCACATGTGTAAGCACATTCATAGGGGATGGTAAGCACATGGTGCAACAATCATTTGTCTGCAATGGCATCGTGCGATAGTTTCGATCTAGCTAAACCTGGGTTGCACCAAGCGCAGATCATTCGCTGAGTGGCAGCAATGCACATTGACTTGTGTGCATTGACTTTCACACAGACAATACAGACAATACGTTATACGTCCGTGTATTTGTGCGTACATATACCCGCTCCATTCATCCAGATTATACGCTTCAACTGTTAATGATACGGCAAAACCATAACAGATGTATCACCTTTCAGACAACACCATTACAATGGGCGCTACAATGTAGGGCTACAAATGTGACATTCGGTGCACAGCGCGTAACATGCTGGCGATACGCGATAATGCGATTGGCGATATTGTAAACATACCGTGGCACTAAAACAGCCGGCATTAGCACCTGTCAGATATGGAATCAATTCGTGAAAGACAATCACTCGAGCTCAGACATTAAGGCCAAGTCTTATTCTTACAAAGACTGTTGGTCCCATGCAAGACAGCAAATATGGCACAGTTTCGCGACGGATGGATAATGAACCAATTTGATATTAACTCGCTAAAATGTGTACATAGTTATTAGTCAGAAGTCAGAACCCACCCATAAGCCATCTCAAAGAGCTGGAGTCCGAGAAATAATTATACACCATTGATGATCGGATTAATAAGCTGCAGAGTTCAAGAAACAATTATACACGATTAATGATGGGATTAATAAGCTGCAGTCATGGTGCAAAAGTAAGGTATATCGTAGCCGCACACACACTACACTATATCCTAAACCAGACCATCGCATTATTGTCAGTGTCGTTATCCACACAAGACATTCGCATCACACAATATCACATAGCTTTCCTCGGTACACCAATAGAGCGTAAGCAAAAAATATCTGCATGTGCACTAGTTGCACAAAAAGACGCACTCGCCAACAGAAGAACGACTCAGCACAAATGCACAGCGGCACGTAGAGGACCGCAAGTGGAAATGTCAGCAGCAGATGAACATGTAAGTTCTGCTAGGCACCTTACGCATGTTACTCCCTCGTTCGCATCATTGCAACCACCGATTGCAGATTTGCGACCCGTGAAACCCCATCTGCAAGTATTCCACGCTAGTTGGCTCCCTACACTTCAGGTGCGCAGTGCGGTGCGCGAGAAAGAAACTCAGCAGCGCAAAGCGCATCACAAAAGGCCTCACAGAGTACGGTACGGAGCCCATAGCTGCTTGCAGTTGATACAGCCGTGAGATTAAGGCAATGGCGGATGCAAAATTATTTAACGATAATGTGCGGGAGCAGTTATACAGCATGGTTACAAAAAGAGGTTTGGGACAGTACAAATGTAAAAGAACGATAAACGGATGCAGTTCGAGTATCCGGCAGAGGAGGGTACAGAACGGGTGTACAAAGGGTGCGGGACGGATGTCGGCGGGTGCAGGGCGGACGCGGACAGGGCCGCCAGTGATTCAGGAAGTCAGGCACGCGGCACAGCCCCGCCCAGTAGCATGGTAACTGCTGACACGACACGAGAAGTAGCGTGGCAGCAGCTACCGTGACACCTCATGTTAGAACGGGCAGCCGGCGAAAATGTTCGGTAATAACAGCTAATAGCAATGGGATTCACAGAAATAGGTGGTACGTATTGCAGCCAACCAAACCGCTGCTGCATTGTGTTTTGATTATAGCCAAATACGGCCAATCCCTGCATGGATCAAGGAGCATGCGATGCACGATACAAAAGACAAAACGACAGAAGCCTTCCCTTCTTCCGGACAATACTGCAAATCGGTGCATACCCTGCTGCTGTCTTTGTAGACTCCGCAGTTACAAGCTGCACTTATTTGAGTGAAGAAAACACTAAACCAGTATCCGCATACCAACTACAAGGGAGAGTGACGTCATTACACAAGCCGTTAAGGATAGTAATTCAGAAAAGAAATGCGGCTGGATTTCTTCAATTTTTGACAGCGGCGATGCCGAGGCACAAAGAAAATAGCAAAGCCAAGTTAACGTACAATTACTGGGGTGGGTGGTTTAAGTACACAGGTATAAGGGTATAATAGTATAAAATATGTGTACAAGGGGCTACCAAAACTGATGGCTGAGTGTCATGTAGGACAATGTAACCAAGCCCTGGTGGAAGAGGGCTTGACAAAAAAGCTAGTCATACACCACTGGTGAGAGATTGACTCGCCTCCTGCAAATAACATAACACCTAAAAAGTGCACGCCTAAAAAAGGCTGGCCCAGTCTGGCATCACTTAGGTGGTAGGTATTCTTGAAACGGCAAAATCGAGAACAGCTCGAAGGTCATGCTATCATAGGATGCCCAAATCTCCTTCAACTTCTCCCGATACCATTCAGTTCGAGGCACAATTTTTGTGCTCCAAACCTAACTATTTTAAGAAAAGGGCAAGGAAAAAGGCAAGCAACTAACAAGTACACCAATGATGGTTGGCACACACGTGTCAATGAGATGCTTTGATACGTGTTCTATAATACTTTCACCTGTCATGCGTTGTAGGCTATGAAAAGAAAAGAGAACGTTGCACGGGCCAAGAGAGCAAAGTTCATGAATGACTGAGAATCCTGCAACACTCAAACAGCACCATAAGGAGGGAATAGAAAATCGCAATCATCGCGAGAGAGGACTGAAACAAACATCTGACCCATGTCCGGTGCATCTCAGACGGATACCCACGCGCCTAGCAGACTGAAAATCGACGGGCTGGCCTCCGCCCGCCTCTCAGGCCAACCGATTCCCGCCTGCAAGTCAGACCCAACCCCATACCTCCAGCCGACCCTTTGTTACTTGTCTTTAGCTGACCAATGCAGCCCGTCAGGCTGATCCCTCCCCTCTCCGACTGTCCCAGCCCACCTCTCAGGCCGAGGGCGGCGAATGGGGCGCCGTAGCCCCATACGTCCCACCAAGTAGGTGCTGCCGGTCGTCGGGCAGAAGGCGATGTCGCTCGGCCCAGTGGCGGGCGCGTCGGCCGGGCTGTGCCGGAGGACGGGGGGCGCCGGCCGCTGAGCCGCCCCGGTACAGTGCCACGAGGGACAGAGACAGCGAGACGAGCAGCAGGAGGGTGAATATTGAGACGCAAACGTAGTCTGTGGGCACACAGACGGTGGGGTGTCAGGGTGTAAAGCATGACCGGGCAAACTGAGGCATCGGAAAACGGACATTTTAATTAGGGAGACAATGAGATCAACCACGTGTATCGCAGCTACAGAAAATAAGCACCTCACATCTACATGTATCACGAATAGTTTATGACATCTATCATAGACTGGTAGCAGCATCAACGAAGCAATCGGCGAAACTAAATGAGCAAGCAAGCCAAAGAAGACAATAGTGAGCAAAATACAAATTTTTCATTACGAATGCTAGCAGCGGCTCCTTTCATGAACTTTCAAGCTGCAAACATTGCGTATATAACCTATTCCGTAGTTAACTTTTCAAACACACAACAGAATAACAAACACTACAGCTAGTCGCTTACCCTGGGCGAGAAACCGCATCTGGAGGTTGGCGTATTTGAACTCGGGATAGATGGCTCGTCGGAACAGGTTGGAGAAAATGTAGATGGTGACTGAGCCGGTAAGCATGGCGAGGCTGAGCATAATCCAGGCCGAGCCAAGCATAGACCGGGTCACTACGATACACTGAGGGAGAAATGGGACGGTCAGTGTAATTCAGTGCACCATACACTGTGGGAAGAGCGGTATAGGCTCATGATGATCCATTGTTGAGATTTGGGAATGAGCAGCGGATCATCGCGATACAACGAGGGGAGAGGAGACTACACGAACTACCATGATACACTGCGACTAGGAGGAGGAGGCATAACATGAGTTTTTGGAACATGGTCTGGAGTAGTAAATACAAATAGGTAAATAAAGATAAAAATAAGTAAAATTAAAAAAGTAAATAAAAATAGGTTTTAAAGTCCGAAGCCTGAAGTTAATATAAATATTTTTTGCAAGCAGCATTCTCTCGGACTTCAGCCAGTTGCTTTCCACTCAGTCATTGAGAAACTGTGACAAAATTTTCAGCCGGATAGACTTGAGATACAATGCCCAACTGGTCCATGTGCAGCCAAACTATCACATTATCGACTGGGCATATCGTAATTCAAAGATGAGCCGGAGCGATGCCTTTGATTGTTCCTATACTGTGGACAGTGGAACTATATATGATATAACTGTAGCAGTCAGCAGACTTGTCTAACCCACCGACTCTCCCCTTGTCTCAGCGGTCAGGCTAGAGTCAAACTCACCAGCTCCAGTCCCGGGATCAGTACGATGAGCGTGAATGCTAGCGTAAACAGCACAAACGCGGGCCAGAACACGGCGTCAGCAGAGAGCTCCATCAGCTGCACTGGAATGAGATACGACCAAGGTCAGGCATAGTGCGAGGCTTGGTTACGACTCCCGACCCACACCCGCACACAACACAGATAGGTGCAGGTTCTGGAGCACTTCAGATAAGATCAGGTATTGGCAGTAGATGTGCTGGTAGAAAATCGTCTTTTGATGTGGGATAGATGTCAGGAAGGTCAAGTAGAAGTTACAAGAACTACCACATACGCTATCGAGTTCCAAGCTCACATTCAAACTGGGATATTTATTTTTCGCAAGCCTAACACCTGCGAGCCCTAGTCACAGCGGTACTTCGAAGAACTCTAGCTTCTCAAGACGCCGCTAGATGGCCAAAGGCCTCCACGCCGAGGCCCTCCAAGGCTTTATGTTTCTCGTAGGTCTCCCTTACGGTCGACAATCTAGCTTATAAATCTCCCGCTAGATGGCTGAGACCCACCGTCCCTAGCCCTTACACAGCGTGCCCTGGCTAACATCATCCTTACGATCTGGTACGAAGAGTATCACGGCTCCGAGGGTGGCCCCGAACAGCAGAGCAGTACCGAGGGTCATACGGCCGCGGCTCCATCCGCCGACCGTGTGCTGTCGGGCGTACACGAGACCGGCCAGCAGGCCCACGACGAACCCGATGGCCAGCGTCACTGAGGGGGACAACGGACAGGGGGTTAGTACACGAGACCGGCGAGAAGACCCACGACGAACCCGATGGCCAGCGTCACTGAAGGGGTAACAGGATAGAGAGTCAGTGCAACAGCTGGCCTGGCCAACGACGACTGACCCATGGTCAAGGTCCGAGCGTCACTGCAGGACACACGGTGTTACTGCAGGGTTAGTGCACCACACAACGGATACAGGACGGGACAGCGGGGCCGGTACAAAATCCCGGTCAGAACATCGATAATGAGCTCCGTCACCAGCGTCACTGCCGGAATCAAAACAGGCGGTCTGTCGAGAAAGGTCAGTCACTTTGAAAATAGCTCAATACACTTGATAAAAGAAGAGTTCATTCGATAAATCACTATCAGCACTTGAAACACCTGGCCAACTTCAGAACAAAATTCTCTCGGGTACAACGTAACATCGGTAAAATATCCTCATATTCACTCGAACATCCCCTGGCGGCCTAACCTTCTCACGGCCCCAGTCTCTCACCATTCGGCTCATCCCAGGTGAGCAGCCTGAACACCAGCACGGCGAGAGCCGCCACCGGCAAGGCCGTGGTGAGCACCACGTGCAGACTCAGCTCACGAGCGGCCACCGTGAGCAGCAGTGCACCGCTCACGAACAGCAGGGCGGCCGTCAGGTAGAAATAAAGCGCAACTGGTAACAGAGACGGAAAGAGTCACTGGGAGGCCGTCTAGCAGAGCGTCACTGAAACGGTCATGAGAAGAGACCAAAAGGTAGCAACTACCAAACCAATACAACTGCCCCGCTGATGACGGAAGTGTCAAGGGACAGCTGTTAGAGATAGAGCAGCAATTTATCAGCTAACTGTGCAAGTTTCCGTCTAAAAATAGCCAAAAATGATACCCAAAGCAGCAGTTTACAACGCAAAGCAACAATACCGTATGTGACTTTACAACAGTTCAAGAGACTTCACTCTCCTCTTTCCCCCTCAGCAGGCACTCACTCTCTGGCGGACACTCGGGGTCGTCCCCGCCGAACACGGGGCAGCCGTGCAGCACGGCCGGGACGTAGGCGGCCGTGGCGGGAGCACGGCCCGGCGGTACGCCCGTCACCGCGGCGCCGTACACCACCGAGTACCCGCGGTACAGGGCGAACGTGTACCGCAGTGGGTACAGCGGGTCCCGACTGTCCACCTGACCGACGGAGAACGGACCGGTAAATTAGGAGAGAGGCTGGAGACGAGAGGTCGGGGAGAAAATCACTCGGAGTACTGCACCAAAAATAGAAACATTCGCGCCGACACCGTACTGATGTTCAACATACCGCTTTCAAATAAATAATGCCGCAGTCACAACTCACACAAGGATTAAAGGGACCCTCCCACCTTCAAAAAAGTTAATGAATTGGCACGAAAGTGATGTCGCTCGGTTCAGAAAGAGCGAAAACGAATATCTACCAAATTTCATCGAAAAATATTCACCGGTTTTCAAGATATTAGACTTTTACTTTTGTTTACTTTTTTAGGATCTCCGCTGTTCCTAGCGACTTTATTTGAAAGTGCGGCATTTGTTGCGCGCAAAGCAGCATATACCACCGCGTGCTACCAAACGTTTTAGTAAAAGATTTAAAAATCGTTAGATCTCCGCTGACGTCACAAATTCTAAGGGGGCATACCAATGCACTAGCCCCTTAGAATCCGAAAACTGCAAGTTTGAAATTCCATATCTCCGAATTAAAGCATTTGTCGATGTTGTGAGTGCCCAAACCGGTATTTGCAGGCCATGGCCACCAATTTGGCTATCTCAACTCAAAACTAATGTTAAGGTGGGAGTGTCCCTTTAAGTGACATTTTAAAAATTGCGTACTTCTTTTACACGTAAAGGAAAGCACCAAATTATGCACAAGTTATATAATCACGCCTGCCACTGACCATGTAACCATTGTCCTCCATGTCATCCGGCTGCAGCATGCTGGCGATAGCGTCCTTGAACGTGTCGTAGTCATCTCGCAGGCTGTATGAGGGGTACATGACGTACGCATAGTACTCCATCGATCCGCGCGCCGAGTCACACGTAAAACCCATACCCCTGTGAATATATGGACGGTGATAAAACGACTATCGATAAACAACGAGTCAACGACCCATGTGGACCGAGCGGGAAACGAGAGACTCGTCGGCATATGGGTAACGTAATGATTACATAACCGCACAGCTTACGGTGCATTACATACATAGAATACATCTGGTTGTAGATAAGAACATACATCTGGTTTTATTCTAACTCGTCGTTTAATTAACTCTTGAGCTTTGTAGCGCAGATATTTTATATAATATCATTAAGAGAAGTTGAGCAAAAACACCTATCCCAGGATTTCCGTACGTTACATAACCGACCTGTCAACGCCAAGTTGCGCTCTGGGTACGTTGAAGAGGCTGTACGCGTCGTGTACGGTCTGCACACGGAAGAAGGGCGCGTCGGGGACGTCCTCTACCTGGCTGCAGCCGCCAGGTATAGGGGCTGTGGGCAGAAAGCAGAAGAAATAACACATCAGTGATGCCCACAAGGAAACAATGGCCTACGAAAACGGCGTTATTCGAACAGCGCTCGTCCAAAAATCCAGCATTTCCTGGATTCGATGGTCCATAGTTTGGCCGGAATTACTAGGCGTGAAATTGATTAGGCGACAGTGAAGGCTTCGCCTTTGCTATAATGCTCTACATTTCAAATAACAATCAGCAAACCAACAAGCAATCAACCGGCCAAGAGTAAATTGTTTCCCTAAAACCCTCTTTGTCATCCTTATTCCAATCCTTTCTGTCCTCATCACACTCACTGTAGTTGGGCAGAAGTGTGACGACCACCAGCACGGTGCCCCTGTCGAGGCCCTCGTTGGTGACCGTCACCGTGGCTGTCGAGCTGCCGCCGGTCAGCCGGTTCACCAGGCCTACATGTGGACCGGTCACAGACTCTGGGCCGCTGCCGTCGGCGGCCGCCTGCTCGAGGCTGACGGTGCCACGCTGCACGTGCGCCTGCACGAGCACCAGCTGAGCAGTGGCTGGGATACCAGCTATATGCAGTTGCTGACTGGCGCCGGCGGCCAGGGGTAGGTCCAGTAGTATTGGCGACCATGGGTCTGTTGTGTTCTGGGGCACATCATCTGTGTAGGGAGGCAGAGAGAAGTAGAAGGGGGCTGTAGTGATTATGACAATATGTAAATATGTGAAATATGTAGTGATTAAATGTTAAAAAAAAAACACTAGTGCCTAACACACACAGATATGAAGTGTGATTTACTTTGTCAATTGATACAAAAGAAACTATAACCCCTTATGAAAACTTCTATCAATAACATGCCATTGTAGAAAACTTGAAATTGAGAAATGCATAAAAAATCAGGTAGGTTTAATGTGATTAAAATGTAATCAAGCATATGCTAATAAACTATACACTTTCAGCCAGTGACCCAAAATGCCTTACAATAGGTTAAAATCAGTAAATTATGCAAGCTTGAGTCAAATCTAGAGACACATAATTGACTGGAAAGGAAAAAAAGCTTACCTATAGAGAGCCCAACCACACTTGCATAGAGAGCTAAATGTAAAAGAAGTGCAAAATTAAATATCTTCATAATTATCCAATTGCACCTGAAATCATCTTCAGTTAAACATCACAAAATATGTGCAAAAATATTTCAATTGATTCATCAATGATTTAAAAGTTTTCCTAGGAACTCTACCAATAAGTAACTCAATGCTCACAAGCATAATGGTCTCCAACTCACATACATATAAGGCATTGTAACTGCCTTGTTTTCTTTGTCTAGCCTTTAACTTGTCTCATAGTAGTCCTGTGATTTTTTACTTGTTTTACAACTAGCATTCTTTGACTAAGGTACCCTGTTGCAAATAAGCAGAATAGATCTCAAATACAATCCAAGTCCATCCTGTAGCTCAGTTGGCAAAACACCAAACTTCCAGGGGCGGAACTTTGTGTTTACACTGCTCTGGCAACATGTAACTGTTCCAGCAATCAATAGATACCTGACTGTTGAACCACTGTTAATGAGAGTGGGCAGGCTTCTGAACGTGACTGGAATAGACGGAACCAGCATAAACTCATCTATAACTTGGAATCGCTCGGGCAAGCACATTGTAGAGACCGAGAGCCAGTATTGGTATGGAAGTGGAACAGTCATTTGTTCATCATTTTGCAATCCAATTCTGCCCGTTAGAAATCAGAGTTAATTATATAAAACCCAGTAAGCCAGGGATTACTTTGATAATAATAATGTGAGGCTATTATGCAACAGAACCATCAATTCTACAATCATGGCGCACTACGACATAAAGCCAGTCATCCAAAAGCACTTTTATAGCGTAAGCAAGAGAAAATGCATACGTTACCAGGAAACACGTGCAAATAATAAAACTTAAACCAACAATTGAAGCACTGAAAACACCACGACAGCCAAATTTCAATGGCAAACCAACTAAATGAATACTTTGTAAAACGTAAACAAACTTAAATAAGCCCGCAGGGCAAATGGTACCTGCGAAACCAAGAATACTCCTGCTGAAGCTGAGATCAAAGGAGCACGTGGAGCTTCTGTACAAAAGGAGGTTTGATCTCAAGAGCAAAGGCATAGAAAATAATGTCCATCAAGTTAGCGTCGTATTCGTATTCGTTTTCAGCGTCGAGTTCAAAACATCGCCAAACTATGCCAACCGATAGATCTTGACACGCTGATTCCAAAAATATCACTCATTTTTTCCTAGGTCAAATATTTTGACCTCTAGGGGCAAAAAACCACTCTGGCTATAAACAACAATAAGGTACTTCTTTATTTACCGTCCGATCGGGCTGAAACTTACACAAAACATGTGCCGCCACACAAGGATGCGTCACAATCAACAAAATCGCCGATCGAGGTCAAAGGTCAAGGTCATATTTGCGAAAAACCGTTATTTTTCGACGGGGTACCAAATAAAAACTTTATTTACCGTCCGATCGGGCTGAAACTTACACAAAACATGTGCCGCCACACAAGGATGCGTCACAATCAACAAAATCGCCGATCGAGGTCAAAGGTCAAGGTCATATTTGCGAAAAACCGTTATTTTTCGACGGGGTACCAAATAAAAACTTTATTTACCGTCCGATCGGGCTGAAACTTACACAAAACATGTGCCGCCACACAAGGATGCGTCACAATCAACAAAATCGCCGATCGAGGTCAAAGGTCAAGGTCATATTTGCGAAAAACCGTTATTTTTCGACGGGGTACCAAATAAAAACTTTATTTACCGTCCGATCGGGCTGAAACTTACACAAAACATGTGCCGCCACACAAGAATGCGTCACAATCAACAAAATCGCCGATCGAGGTCAAAGGTCAGGGTCATATTTGCGAAAAACCGTTATTTTTCGACGGGGTACCAAATAAAAACTTTATCTACCGTCCGATCGGGCTGAAACTTACACAAAACATGTGCCGCCACACAAGGATGCGTCACAAGCAACAAAATCGCCGATCGAGGTCAAAGGTCAAGGTCATATTTGCGAAAAACCGTTATTTTTCGACGGGGTACCAAATAAAAACTTTATTTACCGTCCGATCGGGCTGAAACTTACACAAAACATGTGCCGCCATACAAGGATGCGTCACAATTAACAAAATCGCCGATCGAGGTCAAAGGTCAAGGTCATATTTGCGAAAAACCGTTATTTTTCGACGGGGTACCAAATAAAAACTTTATTTACCGTCCGATCGGGCTGAAACTTACACAAAACATGTGCCGCCACACAAGGATGCGTCACAATCAATAAAATCGCCGATCGAGGTCAAAGGTCAAGGTCATATTTGCGAAAAACCGTTATTTTTCGACGGGGTACCAAATAAAAACTTTATTTACCGTCCGATCGGGCTGAAACTTACACAAAACATGTGTCGCCATACAAGGATGCGTCACAATCAACAAAATCGCCGATCGAGGTCAAAGGTCAAGGTCATATTTGCGAAAAACCGTTATTTTTCGACGGGGTACCAAATAAAAACTTTATTTACCGTCCGATCGGGCTGAAACTTACACAAAACATGTGCCGCCACACAAGGATGCGTCACAATCAACAAAATCGCCGATCGAGGTCAAAGGTCAAGGTCATATTTGCGAAAAACCGTTATTTTTCGACGGGGTACCAAATAAAAACTTTATTTACCGTCCGATCGGGCTGAAACTTACACAAAACATGTGCCGCCACACAACGATGCGTCACAATCGACAAAATCGCCGATCGAGGTCAAGTGTCAAGGTCATATTTGCGAAAAACCGTTATTTTTCGACGGGGTACCTAATAAAAACTTTATTTACCGTCCGATCGGGCTGAAACTTACACAAAACATGTGCCGCCACACAAGGATGCGTCACAATCAACAAAATCGCCGATCGAGGTCAAAGGTCAAGGTCATATTTGCGAAAAACCGTTATTTTTCGACGGGGTACCAAATAAAAACTTTATTTACCGTCCGATCGGGCTGAAACTTACACAAAACATGTGCCGCCACACAAGGATGCGTCACAACCAACAAAATCGCCGATCGAGGTCAAAGGTCAAGGTCATATTTGCGAAAAACCGTTATTTTTCGACGGGGTACCAAATAAAAACTTTATTTACCGTCCGATCGGGCTGAAACTTACACAAAACATGTGCCGCCACACAAGGATGCGTCACAATCAACAAAATCGCCGATCGAGGTCAAAGGTCAAGGTCATATTTGCGAAAAACCGTTATTTTTCGACGGGGTACCAAATAAAAACTTTATTTACCGTCCGATCGGGCTGAAACTTACACAAAACATGTGCCGCCACACAACGATGCGTCACAATCGACAAAATCGCCGATCGAGGTCAAGGGTCAAGGTCATATTTGCGAAAAACCGTTATTTTTCGACGGGGTACCTAATAAAAACTTTATTTACCGTCCGATCGGGCTGAAACTTACACAAAACATGTGCCGCCACACAAGGATGCGTCACAATCAACAAAATCGCCGATCGAGGTCAAAGGTCAAGGTCATATTTGCGAAAAACCGTTATTTTTCGACGGGGTACCAAATAAAAACTTTATTTACCGTCCGATCGGGCTGAAACTTACACAAAACATGTGCCGCCACACAAGGATGCGTCACAATCAACAAAATCGCCGATCGAGGTCAAAGGTCAAGGTCATATTTGTGAAAAACCGTTATTTTTCGACGGGGTACCAAATAAAAACTTTATTTACCGTCCGATCGGGCTGAAACTTACACAAAACATGTGCCGCCACACAAGGATGCGTCACAATCAACAAAATCGCCGATCGAGGTCAAAGGTCAAGGTCATATTTGCGAAAAACCGTTATTTTTCGACGGGGTACCTAATAAAAACTTTATTTACCGTCCGATCGGGCTGAAACTTACACAAAACATGTGCCGCCACACAAGGATGCGTCACAATCAACAAAATCGCCGATCGAGGTCAAAGGTCAAGGTCATATTTGCGAAAAACCGTTATTTTTCGACGGGGTACCAAATAAAAACTTTATCTACCGTCCGATCGGGCTGAAACTTACACAAAACATGTGCCGCCACACAAGGATGCGTTACAATCAACAAAATCGCCGATCGAGGTCAAAGGTCAAGGTCATATTTGCGAAAAACCGTTATTTTTCGACGGGGTACCAAATAAAAACTTTATTTACCGTCCGATCGGGCTGAAACTTACACAAAACATGTGCCGCCACACAAGGATGCGTCACAATCAATAAAATCGCCGATCGAGGTCAAAGGTCAAGGTCATATTTGCGAAAAACCGTTAATTTTCGACGGGGTACCAAATAAAAACTTTATTTACCGTCCGATCGGGCTGAAACTTACACAAAACATGCGCCGCCATACAAGGATGCGTCACAATCAACAAAATCGCCGATCGAGGTCAAAGGTCAAGGTCATATTTGCGAAAAACCGTTATTTTTCGACGGGGTACCAAATAAAAACTTTATTTACCGTCAGATCGGGCTGAAACTTACACAAAACATGTGCCGCCACACAAAGATGCGTCACAATCAACAAAATTGCCGATCGAGGTCAAAGGTCAAGGTCATATTTGCGAAAAACCGTTATTTTTCGACGGGGTACCAAATAAAAACTTTATTTACCGTCCGATCGGGCTGAAACTTACACAAAACATGTGCCTACACACAAGGATGCGTCACAATCAACAAAATCGCCGATCGAGGTCAAAGGTCAAGGTCATATTTGCGAAAAACCGTTATTTTTCGACGGGGTACCAAATAAAAACTTTATTTACCGTCCGATCGGGCTGAAACTTACACAAAACATGTGCCGCCACACAAGGATGCGTCACAACCAACAAAATCGCCGATCGAGGTCAAAGGTCAAGGTCATATTTGCGAAAAACCGTTATTTTTCGACGGGGTACCAAATAAAAACTTTATTTACCGTCCGATCGGGCTGAAACTTACACAAAACATGTGCCGCCACACTAGAATGCGTCACAATCAACAAAATCGCCGATCGAGGTCAAAGGTCAAGGTCATATTTGCGAAAAACCGTTATTTTTCGACGGGGTACCAAATAAAAACTTTATTTACCGTCCGATCGGGCTGAAACTTACACAAAACATGTGCCGCCACACAAGGATGCGTCACAATCAACAAAATCGCCGATCGAGGTCAAAGGTCAAGGTCATATTTGCGAAAAACCGTTATTTTTCGACGGGGTACCAAATAAAAACTTTATTTACCGTCCGATCGGGCTGAAACTTACACAAAACATGTGCCGCCACACAAGGATGCGTCACAATCAACAAAATCGCCGATCGAGGTCAAAGGTCAAGGTCATATTTGCGAAAAACCGTTATTTTTCGACGGGGTACCAAATAAAAACTTTATTTACCGTCCGATCGGGCTGAAACTTACACAAAACATGTGCAGCCACACAAGGATGCGTCACAATCAATAAAATCGCCGATCGAGGTCAAAGGTCAAGGTCATATTTGCGAAAAACCGTTAATTTTCGACGGGGTACCAAATAAAAACTTTATTTACCGTCCGATCGGGCTGAAACTTACACAAAACATGCGCCGCCATACAAGGATGCGTCACAATCAACAAAATCGCCGATCGAGGTCAAAGGTCAAGGTCATATTTGCGAAAAACCGTTATTTTTCGACGGGGTACCAAATAAAAACTTTATTTACCGTCAGATCGGGCTGAAACTTACACAAAACATGTGCCGCCACACAAGGATGCGTCACAATCAACAAAATCGCCGATCGAGGTCAAAGGTCAAGGTCATATTTGCGAAAAACCGTTATTTTTCGACGGGGTACCAAATAAAAACTTTATTTACCGTCCGATCGGGCTGAAACTTACACAAAACATGTGCCGCCACACAAGGATGCGTCACAATCAACAAAATCGCCGATCGAGGTCAAAGGTCAAGGTCATATTTGCGAAAAACCGTTATTTTTCGACGGGGTACCAAATAAAAACTTTATTTACCGTCCGATCGGGCTGAAACTTACACAAAACATGTGCCGCCATACAAGGATGCGTCACAATTAACAAAATCACCGATCGAGGTCAAAGGTCAAGGTCATATTTGCGAAAAACCGTTATTTTTCGACGGGGTACCAAATAAAACTTTATTTACCGTCCGATCGGGCTGAAACTTACACAAAACATGTGCCGCCACACAAGGATGCGTCACAATCAACAAAATCGCCGATCGAGGTCAAAGGTCAAGGTCATATTTGCGAAAAACCGTTATTTTTCGACGGGGTACCAAATAAAACTTTATTTA